CACAGGCATTCCTGGACCACATTGGTGGGTGACGGGCTTATCTGGCCAAGGTTTGGCTTCTAGTCTCCCGAAACGGGGCCTAGTAACTTCTCTCGGGGATGAAGTTTCTGCTTGGCTGAGGCCACCTGCAGCCCACCTACCAAGCACTCCTGGCTCATCTGTTAAAGGTCATCCAGGCCCTAGCTTGAAGTCACCGGCCCGCGGGTGAAATGCTGTGCACCAGCATGCCCTTTGTAAACTGTCCTCAGTGGGGTCTCATCCGATCCTGTCAGAAGCCACCTCTCCACCACATAGCAGAGATGCAGAGGTCGGCCCTGCGGCCCAGGCCCCTGGCTCAGGAGGATGGGAAAGGCTGGCTGAGCAGCCCTGTCTAGAGCTTTGGGGAGAGCTGGGTGACAAAACAGGCACAGAACTCTCAAGACACGTGAAGTCCAGCCACAAGGCTCAGGCCACAGCAGCCGCAAGACCACATGTTCCCAAGACAACACACCAATCCTGAATACCTTTTTAAAGGACTGGTGTGAATCGGGAAACATTTCTCTGAAACAGCGTGTTCATCACACACCCTCCCTCTGACAACTTTTCAGGCTCCCCGGTTTGAATACACCCTCATTAGCTTCATAAACACTCGCAGGGACCAACCATGCTTCAAGCTACACAGGAAGAGGGGAAATTCCAAAGAGCAGGGCACAGGCTGGGTCTCAGGGCCTTCTGCAGCTCCCAGGGGAAGCAAAGCCTGAGTGCTAAGCCAGATGTGCAGTGTTCAGCGGATGCAAACAGAAAGCCCAGAGGAAGGCAGGCTGTCTACTTCTGAGCTACAGAACTATGCGAACTGTGGAGACAAGCACCAAAATAGAAACTTCCACAACACATCAAGCTGGGCTGATCCAGGGTCCACCGTGGTCTATAGATGGAGAGAGCAAAGCTCAGCCAGAAAGAGTGGAAAGCCGAGGAGTGACGGATGGGTGCTGGGAGAGCTCTCTTGGGGGCAGTAGGGGTGGGGAAGCATCTCTAGCCTTCTTACAGATGGTCTACAGCTTTTCACCGTAGCTTGCATTGCTCGTATGGGTTCTTTGCTAGCTCACACTGTAGGATAGCTTGTTAGCCCACACTGGGGAGAGAGAGAGAGAGAGAGAGAGAGGGAGGGAGGGAGGGAGGGAGGGAGGGAGTGTGTGTGTAAGTGTGTATGTGTTATGTGTGTGTGTGTCCCCTGGAACTAGAGTTACAGAAGGTTGTGAGCCACTATATGGATGCTGGGAATCGAACCCTGGTCCTCTGAAAGAGCATCCCAGTATTCTCAACCTCTGAGCAGTTCTTAAAGGTAACTTGGGGCCGGACATGTAGCTCAATTGGTAGAGCATTGGTCTAGCATGCTCGAAGCCCTGGTTTATTCTCAAGTACCACACAAACTGGGTACCATAGTGCTGAAGGTCATTCTCTAGTTCCAAGCCAACCCTTTGGGAGCAGGCACAATTTTCTCTACCTGCACACCATAAGTCTTCCCCATGCCCTCCCCACTGGACGTTTTGGAGAAGCAACCTTTGGACTGCAGTGTTGGCAGGAGTAAGACTAGCTCACTACTTTAAAAAATTAAAATCCTCAGCCATTGGGTTGAAATAAAACTCTTGACTCTGCCAAGAACTTCAAAGTCAAGATTAAAGGATTTTTTTTTTGACTCAAAGGCACGGCATGGATGGCTTTGGGTAGTTGCCTGCTTCTGCAGGATTAATAGTATCCACCATTCTCCAAACAGGTTATAACAACAGCACAGTCTGTGTGCTAAGCTGTCTGGCTGATAAAGTGGGTGGGAATAAGGTATTTCCACCCCCAAATCCACTAAGGCAGAACAGTTAACCCAGCAGACCATGGGTAATGATGTTTGGTTGCCTGTGAATTAATTTCTAGTGAGGAGTGCTGGAAGCTAATGTATGTCTCTGTTGAGGCAGTGTGCCCAGAAGTCTTGATGTTCATATAGATATGTTATCACCATGTTTATATTATCTCAGCAGGGTGAGGAGCCAGCTGGAATGTCCTCTGGGGTTAATGGACGTTTTGGAAGAGGGGTGTATGCAGCTTTGGCAGGAGAAAGATGCTGGAGCTGTCCACTTCCACCCAGGGGAGGCTGAGAAAAAGTGACCCAACTCATCTCCAGGCCTGCTGGGTTACCGCTGCACTCCACCCTTTCTGAATGAGAGCCACAGTGCACACCATCTAACAGAGCATGGCTCTTTTTAAAAAACTAAGACAGTTTTATTCCCTGGTTACACCACATTTACCCTCAGATCTTCCTCCATGGGGAGGCTGGTGTCAGGCTACATCCATCCTGCAGCCTGGCATTACCATGATTTCTTCACAGCAGGCCGACACGGCACATAGATCCCTCTCCTCTCTGGGATGGATTAGTCACTCCTCATGATGAGGTATGAAGGGCTGTGAAAATAAACTCACTGTGGACCCTATGTGTCTCCACCCACCTATTTCTCTTTTCTTTTGGGTCGCACAGCATCCCTGAGAAATGATTAATATGATGTTTCATTTAAATACAGAACAGTCTAGATGCTGAATAGGAGTAGCAGCGCCCAGATGCAAGAAAGCTTGAAATTAACAGGCCGCAGCCACAGAAAGTAGAAGATTGATTTCATTTTCTTATCTTATGCTCCTTTTTTATGTCTTTCCCGACATTAAAGGGAGATTAATTAATCCAGGCGCCATCTTTCTGCTGGCAATTTTATATTATGTTTGACTACTTAATAGAAATTGGAGCCATAGCCAGGCGACGCCGAAAGCGTGTCCCAGGGGACCAGGGAGAAGTCGGTGTGTCACGGTGGCAGGCTTCACGACTACTGTCAAAGCCAGAAGACAGAGAGTAAACTCTGAGAGGCCTTCATTCATTCCGCAGCCATTTCCCAACAACTGCTGCAGAGCTGGGCTGGGGTCTCTTCACACTGCCTCCTCCTCCAGAGAACTCCGGGCTGCTCCCGTTTGTGTTTTTTAGGGTGATTTGGAACCAAAGTGAAATTCAGTAAATATTTATTGAACAGCGGCCATATGTTCAGTTCCATCCTGGCTGTGGGGAGAATACCAAAAGGGGTTCAGCCACAGTGACTGTCACTGAAGGCCTCCCAGCTAATATACGCCCGCAATTCCAGGCAATTATGGTAATGGCGCACATTTAAACACTGCGCCTGTTTACCCATGCTTTTGTTTGACTCTCTCCGACACTGTTGGAATCTCTCAACAGCTCAGGAAGGGAAGTGGGGGGCTATGCTGAGGCTGGGGCTTTGCAAATAATAAACAGGCTCGGTGGGGTGGGGTGGGGTGGGGTGGGTTTCACTCTGCCAGGAGGGCAGCCAGGGCCTGGCACGTTTCTATATGGGAGCCGTGCAAGTCAAATGCTCAAAGGCTGGAGGAGGGAGCAGCAGACAGGGGTCTCTCAGACCGGCCACACTGAGGGCTGACCCTGCAAGAGCCTGGTTTTGTCTATGACACTGTTGCTCAAGTGTTCCAGCAAGGGGTCCTGTCCTGCCTGGACTCATCCATTTGAAAACTTAGGCCCAGAGTGGGTCTCCACTGGCTACCCTGAAGGTCACACAGCCCCTCAGCCAACCGGGAGCTCTGTGCATCAAATCAGTGCTGACCTGTGACTTCCCAAGGGAGCGAGGCAGATTTTCGGGTTCCTTGACTCTGAGCAAGGTTGTTGCGAGGCATCCTGTTTTCCAGAGAGCAGCCTCTCAGGCTAAGCCACCTTTGTTCTCTCCTGTCCTCTTGTTACAAGCTCAAAGGACAGATGACATCATTTCTCCTCAGGCCCATTAGAGACGCAGATCGATAGCAAGAAATAAAGTTTAGATTTTTTTTTTCAAAACTCTTTGCAGCAGATAGTCTCGGGAGACCAATTGCAGGCAAAAAGATGACAAGATTCCTAATTAAATATAATTAAATAAGCATTAAGAAGGAGGCTGCCATACCTCTCCCATGTCAACCACAGTGTGCCAGAGGGCCAAGGCAAGAATGTCATCTCTGGGGAAGAGCCATGTAAAACCCCTGGTGACTAAGCCTGGGAAACAGCAGGATTAAGAATCCAGCCAGGGTCTGCAGGGATGTAGGACCAATACCAGAAAGATGAGGAGAAGAACAAACCCACACAGAAATGACCATTTTAGGGGTTATGTTGTTAGCATTCAAAAGGGCATTGCCATTCATTCGCTGTGTGACCTTAGATACATTGATTTACATCTCTGAGCCTCTTTTTCTCCCTAAAGACCAGTTTCTTATAACAAAGATGCAAGACAAACCACACACATTGTATTTCTTTTGTTTGTTTGTTTTTCAAGACAAGGTTTCTCTGAGTAACAGTCCTGGCTGTCCTGGAACTCATTTTTGTAGATCAGGCTGGCCTCAAACTCACAGAAATCCACCTGCCTCTGCCTCTGCCTCTAGGGTGCTGGGATTAAAGGGGTGTGCCACCACTTTTACACATTGTATTTTACAAACTTTAACGGACTTTTGGGGGGAAAAAAAGCATAAGCAAAAGCTACAAATGGAAAAGTGCACAATTTTAGTAGTACAGTTAATGAAACTCAGTGTACTTGAAATAGACAGTCTATGTGAAATGTTGACTAAGTAGATATCATTCTCCATTGATTCAGTACTTGTTAATTTATTCATTTACTGCAAGTCTGAAATCTGGTTCTTATGCCCAGGCAGCCCCTCTCCAAATGGACCAACTGTACTTTCTATGCATAGGAAGTACCGGCCATATTGTCTGGCCAGAGCTAATCTGAAGGCCAGACTTAAGATGAAAACATGGAGGCCGTGGGTCCATCTCCGTGGTGGCATACTCACCTAACACACACAGGTCTCGGGCACTTAACTGTGGCTCTCCTTGTCATTAGCACCCAAGAAATGTGACATTAATAGCACACAGCTCATCTAAAGAGAAGAAGAGCTACTCAAAACACCTAGCTATGGCATCTTCCCTAATGAACCTCTCCCATTAGGGCACACCAGGGTGTGGGAGAAATGTACCCAGGGACCCACCCCCAGCAAAGGAGCTAAAGGCAATTGACGGTTGCAACACAGCCACTGGTAAGTTGTCCATATCCTACTCTCCCGTCTCATGTAAGCAACCCCAACTCAACTCAGTAGGTCACAGAAATGGGAGAAACAGATGTAAACGTGGTTGGGAGGAAGAAGGGTTATACAGAGAGTGTAGGGAGGGGATGAGATAGGACAGTAGGGGTGAATATGTCCAAAATACATTACATCCATACAAAAGATGAATAAAATAAAACGACAAATGCACCAGAGCCGAGGGTGAGGGGCTGGTTTAGTGTCCTGCAGTGCTCTGGGAACAAAAGCCAGCTCAGCCAGCTTCCCCAGCTCAGCCCTAAAGCAATCAGTGGCTCCCAAGATTAAAATTCACCCACGGCCAAATTCTGTTATAAACAGCTCCATTCCACCTGGAGCCTGGAAGCCGGCAGATGCAGCCCCTCTCCTGGGCATACAGTGATGGAAACCCCTCCTCGCTCCGTCGCCCCCAGCCTTTAAATCAGCCATGATTCCGGCCTGACGCCGAGTTACGGCACGTTTACAGAGCCTCTGTAGGGCTCTCTAAATTTTGTGGCCATGGCTCGTTCTCACCCAGCAATCCAAATAAAAATAGCACTATTGATCACAAAGCCATCGATAACGTCAGCCCCAAAGCCGTACGTGTGCATCTTTAATTGCTTCATCCCTTTTATGTCTCTTCAGATATTACCATACGTGTCTGGGAGGCCAATGGCCTCTGGTTGTGGGGGGAGACAGACCTATGCCAGGCAAATGAGGAGTGGGACTTGCATTTGGGGCCCCAGGGCTAGAGCCCGTCAGGAAATACCACCAATTATGCTTAATTTCTCATTGTCCCCCCCCCTTAAGCAATTAAGGTTCGTTTGCCGTAACAGAGAAGCAAAGTGGTAATACCCAATAAATTAATCAAGAAATAAGGAATGGAGGCAGCGGTGAGCTGGGTGTTTGCACATCACACATGTGGGGCTCCAGATGCTGAAGACAATTTTTACTGCTATAAAAACTAAGAAAGAGGAAACTAGATGCTGTTCCAACTGACAGCCAGCCCTCCCTGCGGCACAGAGATGGCTCAGCAGCTTCTGGAATCTTCCTCCCTCCCCTGCAGGGCCTGGAGGACAAGAAAGCCTCCCCATCAGGGTCTCAAGCATATTTTATTTTATTTATTTATTTATTTTTGGTTCTGGGGTCCATGCACCTGTGTGCAACGTGAAGTGAAGTAATCGGCTCTGCAATTCGACAGGAAAGCTGCAAAATCAAAATTAACACATGCTCCATTAAACGCCTGCCCAAAGCGCAGTGCCGCCGCCTCGGTGTGCAGCCTCCCTGAGAGAGGAATCATAAAGTTTCATTACATCTGAGAAAACAGGCACAAGGACGCCAGAGATGCCTATTGGTTATGGGGTAAATCACAGGCAATTGAGACTATGATAAATTACCCAGAGCCGGATAATTTAAAAAGAGAAATCGTTAAACTTCTTTCAAATATCTTTACCGAAAACAAATGTTCGTTACAGTGTGGGTGTGTTTTAATTTGTTGGATGTGTTCGGGGATGGCAGGAGCTAAGGAGGGCCATGGAACCAGTGTGCATCTCCCAGAGGGTGAACCAGTCCTTGGGGAGGTGGCTCAGTTGACACCGTGCCTGCCTTGTGTCCCTGAAGCTCTGAATTCAATCTCCAGCAGTAATAAGCCAGGCATGGTAGCCCACACCTGCAACTCCAGCACTTGGAGGTGGAGATGGGAAGGTCAGAAGTTCAAGGTCATCTTCTCCACATAGTGATTTAGGGGCCAGCCTGGGCTACTTTAAGGGAAAATGGGAGAGTGGGCTCCAGAGTGGGGGACTGCTCCTCATGTAGGTAGCTCAGGGAGCCCTAACATGGAACGCTTGACATGGTCTGCAAGTCCAGTTCGCCCCGGTTATAAGGAGTCAATACCAAGTCTCTAGTAGTCTCCCATGCTCCGAGACCTTCCCCTCCCCCAGTGGAGAGCTGAACTCCTCATTTCCTTATTTCCATGTCTGCCTACACACAGCAGGCCAATAACACCAGCTTAGGCACTGACACACTCACAGGCTGTGCTGGGGACTCCATTAATGGCTTTTGTTTTTGTTTTTGTTTTGTTTTGTTTTTTGTTTTGCAAGCCACTCTAAGGGACATCTAGGAGGACACAACAGTAGGACATGCAAATGAGGTCAAACATGCCATCAAGGTCCACTGCCAGCCTTGGGAGGATCCTGGCTGCTGGCAGCTACCTTACTGCTGCTGTGGTAGCAGGAGAGAAGAGACTGTCCCTGGCATCTGAGGCCAGAAGGCCAGCAGGGCTACTGCACACCCCACGGTGTCCAGGAGTCCCTGCCATACTGAGTGACCAAGGCCCAAGCACCAGTGGCATGGTGTGCAGAAACCCTGCCTTTGAGAATGTGCGGATGTCTCTGAAGAGTCTCCCTCACAACTCAAGGAGGCCTGAGCAACCTGGCAAACAACCCGGCATGACGGACAGGGTGAGATCCCTTGAGAACTGAGGTTTAGGTGCCTGTCAGACTGGGTGGATTTGTGATCCGGCCAGATTCCAATTGAAACTTGAAAGATGAAAGTGGTTTCTTTTATTCACCCTTTTGTAAGGGCCAGGCCTCAGAGCCATCTCCATAGAGACCCCCTCTCCCTAATGGCTACCCAGCAAACTTCACTTCTGCCACAGAGATGTCTTGCACATTTCTCTTCTAAGGAGAACTGAGTCTGTCTGGAGAGGCCTTTAGACTGTTCTTTCAAATAAAATCACATCAGAAGACATTAATGACAGCCTGGGATCGCAAGGGATGCAGCCATGTGACCCTCTCATTTGCATCGGAATTGCCTGGCCATCCTGGGAGGCGCCAGGATGGGGGATGTTCTCCAAGTGGCCGTGGGTCACTGCAGGGTTGTGACAGCATCTTGGATTTATGAACTAAGTGGTGACCTTGTAAGTATTGGTTTGGAGCCTCGTGATGGAGGCTGTGACAATGGGCATTGCGACACCTAAGCTATCAGATGTAATTTGGGAGCCATGGCTGAAATTGTCTTGTGCTAGCTCAGGTTTGAGATTAGCTCATCGCAGAACAATGACTGATTTGTGTGTTCCTGCGAGCAGAGGGGACATTAGCACTGTCTTCCAGGAGATGAACCAAAAAGGTTAGATGAGGCTTGCCCTGATCCCCTGGGGACTGCTCCTGGCATGAGAATTAGAACCCTGTTGTTGTAAAGCACCAAAGGGGGGTTAAAAAGCTTCATCCACGTGAAAAATTGCAGACTGAAAAATCCCTGTGTGCTCAGACTGGAGAAAGAAACAAGACCAGGGACTGGGGAGGGGCCCCTGCCCTCACCACTGGAACCAGCAGACCACACCAAAGCCTACTGACAAGCCCAGCTGAGTCCTGGGCTTCTTCTTCCCTAATTCCAAATCCCCGATTTGCAAAGATGATCCGCGAAGAAGCATGCTGCGAAGAGAAACCAGGCAGTAAGTTTCCACCAGTCCTCAGCTGTAATGTGCATGGAAGACCCAACGTGCCCACTTCTGTTCGGTGAGGGCCAGAGCTCTGAAAAAAAAAAAAAAAAACGACCCTTGCTGGCCTTCATACCTTTTCCAGAGAACGCTGTACAATTAGCCTTTCTTTTCCTTCACTTAAAAGTTGAACTGAAATTAATTTTATTTTTTCAAACCAGTTGGTTTTAAAAGAAAGGCACAGTGCTTTGCCAGTAGGTAATTTCTTCTTGATTAAAGAGAGGGTTGATGGTAAAATTGATGCCCAGTTAGCTCATAATGGATGGAGGCCTGTGTCTGATGCTCCTTGAGAATTCCAGATGCGTGTGATGGGTTTTTTGGGCAAGGATTGGACACCCTGGTATGGGAGCTTTCTGGAACAAAGCCAACAAGAGAGAGTCAACAAGGGAAGCCAGGGCCACAGATGAGGGATAAGGAGCGTACATGCACAAGTGGGTGGTCCTTCCATCCAGAACTGATTATTTCTTTTCTCAGTTGTCCCTTCATTACTTGAAGCCTCTTGACCAAGTTCATCGAAAGACAAACTTCAGTCACCCTCCCCACCTCCCCGAGTGTGGCCAGCCTAGTTAAGTATTCTCCTCTTAGTCCCTGCTCCAGTGTAGATGAAGCCGGGGTGGGGGGAGAGGGGAGAGAGGTAGTGAAGCCAGTGTGATGTCAGCCTGCTTCTTCTGATCATCACTGTTGGCATCTTGCTCTTGACGTCAACCAAGAAGAGGTAAGGACAGCACCAGTTCAGAGGGATCCAAACCCAGAGAAACGGCCTGGGGTGGGGTGGGGGGTGGGGTGGGGTGATGGCTCAGTCATCGAGGAGCTTGCCACACAGTCATGAGAACTCTAGTTCAACCCTCAGAATCCACCTTTAAAAAGTCATGCATAGTGAAGCATGCTTGTAATCTCAGTACCAAGGACGTGGAGACAGGAAGATCCCTGGGACCCAGTAATCAGCTGGTCCAGCCTACTCAGAAAGTCCAGAGCCATTGAGAGATTCTGTCAGAACAACAACGAGATGGGTATCACCTGTAGAGCAACACCAGAGGTCAAACTCTGGCTTCCACATGTATGCATACGCACATGCACACACAAGCGCATGCACGCACACACAACAGGGCAAGCACACGCAACTGCATAGTGTACCCTGCACAAGGTTATGGGACAAATGGAGTGAAAGTCAGTTCCCACTCTATTCACAAAGATACATACTCAGAGCTTTAATCTGCATGAAAACCCAAGCTGCTCACCAAGTAGGTAGAACCTGCAAGGGCTCTGTGCCCAGAGGGCATGCCACGCTCTACAGTAATACCACACGGGTTAGCGTTGGCCTGGACATACTAGATTTGGCAAGAGTCTTGACTTAAGTTCCCCAGCTAAACATACCAATCAGTGGTTAGTGGATCGCTCAGGCTAAAGAAATAAAGAAGAGACAAGAGTCCGTGTGGAGCACTGTGGTCCATCAACAAGAAAGCAGGAGGGACCAGAGTTCTCC